AACGGAAGTAATAATCTTTGGACCAATAGAGGAGAGATCTAAAGTTAGCACACAGCTTCAATCGCTTCAGCTAGTAACCACTGATCAGGCCCGAAATCTAGGTGTAGTACTGGATTCAGACTTGAACCTCCAAAAGCATTTAAAGACAATTACAAGGTCGGCTTTCTATCACCTGAAGAACATTTCCAGGATTAAAGGACTAATGTCTCAGCATGATCTGGAAAAACTAATCCATGCGTTTATTTTTAGTCGAATTGATTACTGCAACGGTGTTTTCACAGGTCTGCCTAAAAAGTGGATCAGACAGCTGCAGCTGATCCAGAACGCTGCTGCCCGTGTCCTCACTAAGACTAAGAAAGTAGAGCACATCACCCCAGTTCTAAAGTCCTTACACTGGCTCGCTGTATCTCAGAGAATAGACTTTAAAATACTTCTGTTAGTCTATAAATCTCTGAATGGCTTAGCACCTAAATACATCACAGACTTGTTATCAGTGTATCAACCCTCCAGACCACTCAGGTCTAAACATGGAGAAGCAGCATTTAGTTCCTATGCTCCACTTATCTGGAACAAACTTCCAGAAAACTGTAAAAGTGCGGAAAGTCTGAGTTCCTTTAAATCAAGACTAAAAACACATTTGTTTAGGATTGCCTTCGACTATTCTAGTTAAACAGTTCAACAAAAACATGTTTTCTTTAATCCAACTGTTTTTAATATTCTTTTTTTGTTTCTGCATTTTTTATTTTATTTTATTTCCTACTTGCTTTGATTCTGTTTTATCTTCCTGTATTTTAATCATGTAAAGCACTTTGCATTGTCTCTGTACTGAATTGTGCTATACAAATAAATTTGCCTTGCCTTGCCTTGCCTTAATGAAAATTCAGAGATGTCAATTAACCTCACAGGCATGTTTTTGTGCAGGAGGAAGCCGGAGCACCCGAAGAGAACCTGCGCATGCAAGGGGAGAACTCTCAAACACGTTGCAAGGGAACAGTGCTACAATTACTCCACCATACAGCCATGTCTTTTGAAATCAAAGGAACAAAAAAAGTTCATAGGGAGGTGGTCTCTGCCTCGCCATAGGGCACGTGAGGGCACCAGGCCCTCAGTGCAAGTTCAATCCTTTCAGATGACTCCCATATCTGGCAATCAATACAGTCCTTGGTGTTTTGGAAGTCGTGTCCCCGCTGGTGAATTAAGAAGTCTGAGGAAGTCTGAGTTTTCTCAAGTAAGTAAAGAGGTGTTCTGCTCTATCTCGTGAATGATGCTGTGTGAGATCTTCAACCTTGTGTGTGACATCGGTTGCAGCTACTTGTCCTTTTTCTTGTTGAAGGGCTTTTCGGCCAATTGCATATGATGTTTAGCCATCCTAAGGTATTCAGTGAGCTCCTTCTCACTGCAGGAAGCTGAACTCGTCCTTTGTCTTTTGTATGTGCTTGACTCGTTGACCTGCTCACGCAGTTCTTAGTGATGTTTCTCCACCAACTTTGCGATTTTCGTGTCCTTTTTTGCCATTGCACCTTTTAAGCTGAGGAGTATTTCTCCTTCGTGCTTCTCCTTCTAGGCATGCCACTGCCTCATCCTTTTCTTTCAAGGTCTCTTTGAATTTGAGTATTAGTGACTCCTTTTCCTGCTGCAGACTGACAAGCTTGCGGTCCTGTTCAACCCCGTGTGCTGTGGGAGTTGCAATATCTATGTTTTTCTATCAACACGCTTACCAAGACATCTTGCTGAAACCCGTCCCTTGTTTTTGTCATGCGCTTGACCTTGTTGGCCTGCTCCTTCCAAGCTGAGGTGTCCCGTACCTGTCGTAGAGTGCCAAGCTCACGGTCCCGTTCCTGTCGTACATTCTTTAACTCAGGGTCCTGTACCTGTCACAGAATGTCAAGCTCACGGTCCCTTTCAACGGCGTTTACCTTAAGGGTTGCAATCTGTCTGTCTTTTTCTAACAGCAGGCGTTCCAGGGCATCACTTTTTTTCTTCATTTGGCTTCGCTAGTTTCCTTCCTTTCAGGTTCCTCGCAGGTTCTCTGAAAGCGGCTTCTCTCTTATGTACCTCCTCACGAAGCACAAGGCCCTGTCCCTTCATTTTGAGCTGCACAGCTTCCAGCTTTGGTGGTTCCTTATATTTGTCACATAATTTATAAGAGGACTCTGAATGTTCCTCTTCTTTCTTGGTTTGTTGGTCAGCAGGCTTGGTTCCCTTTAGACGTTGGACCAGTTCTGAATGTAAGGAAATTGATGTGCCATTAGAATCTGAATCCCAGTCTGTGGGGACTTGTTCTGATGGTAATCAGACTTTGATCATAAGTATCCACCTCTTTTGCTTTCTCTGATTGCTTTTGTTTCTGTGTCTCACCTGCTGCTGACAAACGTGGTTCCCTGGACTTTTGGTAACACGTGTTAAATCCTGATTTTAAACATACTTTTTTTTTTTCTGTTAGTCAGTAGGCTTGAGTTTGAATTCACATTCGTCCAAGAATTCAAGCATGTCATTTTGCATGTTAAAATCTGTATCACAAAACTTTGATGTTCTTAGTATCTCTATTTCACTCTCTTCTGAGAGACATGGTTCCTCACACACTTGATGACACATCTTAGATCCTCATTTTAAAAATTACAATAAAAACACTAATATTTGTGTTCAAATGTTACTACTTAATTTACTGTGTGAAATCTGGGGATCAACATTTTAAACTTATATACAACCTTTATTTATTTAGCAAATAGAGCTTTAGAAATGATCAATCATAGTAATTCTAAAAATCCTTCCCATCCATTATTCATTCATTCTAAAATACAAAAAACTTTTACAAAAAATGTCTTCAACTCTAAATCACAGGTGCACTGGAAGAACGTTCTAGAAATAAGTAAAAATTTCTTAAATTAAGTGAATTTAGCGTTAATTTAAGTAGGTAAATAAGATAATTTTCCAATGGAATCATTATTTTTACTCTTAAAATAAGATAATAAGATAATATGCACTTCAAATAAGAGAATGCAATTATTTTTTTCTTATATTAAATGTAAATTGTCTTGTTGCATTGGCAAAGTGTCTCACTTACCTCCTCAATTCAAGAATAAATGCACTTATTTAAAGAAAAATAACTTATTTAGATTCCAGTTTTTTGCAATGTGAAGACAATCAGCTCCTCCAGAATCGTAGGAAAGGAGTCCGACTTTGTCCAGCAAGCACAGACTTCTCTGGAGGGATGTGGTTCTTACTTAGCGTAGCTTTCAGCTGAGAAGTGGCATGTCTAGCCTTACCCAGCTGTAGGTCACTCGCAACAGGAGGTTGAATAGGCGCCAGCTCCTTAAAGTCATAGGGAAATCATATTTAAATATCAAATCATTCTGGCTTAAACATGTTTATAAATGTACTCTTTATCAGATGATATCGTCCCAAAATTTAGAAACTTTGTATTTTAAAAAAAAATTTTCGACTTAAAATCTGTGGGGTTTTTTCTTTATCTCATGCAGGCCAGTTAGTTATACTTCAGCTTGTAAACTTAAATTAGGCTAATCATATATCAACGGTCATCTGTCAATCAAATTTTTGTCGGTCATAGCAATCAAATTTTTGTCGGTTATAGCATCTTGAAGTTTCAACTTGACCTCTTTACTCAAGTAAAAGTGAAAAAGTATGTGCTCCAAAAACTACTTAAAGTATAAAAGTATAAAGTAACCTAAAAAAAAACAGCCAGGTGCCACTATATGGATTAGGATGAGGGAGGTCTTGTTGGTCTCTATCTCCCGATACGCTCTCGCCTGTGTCCGACCTTTCAGACATTTCAACATCTTTTTCTGAATCCGACATTGTAGCATGGCATAGACAATTCACGTTTACAGTTGAAATCACCTGCTTACTTCTAATGATTTCCTTTAGCTAACCAATGAGTGTTTGCGTTATATGACTCATCCAATTACACTAGTTTTCACTAGCAGTGGATTACAGCAATGATCTGCATTGGATGGCGCACATGACGTGAAATAAATGTTTATAAAAATTAAACCGAAGCCAAGAATAACGAGCAACGTTTGTTTTAAAAATGTAAGGAATAGAAAGTACAGATACTTGTGTGAAAATATAATGAGTAGAAGTCAGAAGTAGGAAGAAAAATAAGTAATGGAGTAGAGTATAGATACTTAAAAAGTGTACTTAAGTACAGTAACAAAGTATTTGTACTTTGTTACTTGACACCTCAGTCCAAGGGAGACGAGTCTTAGATTCCCAGATTAGAGAGCAATAGTTTGTGCAGGATAAAAAAAAAAAAAAGGATAATCTCAAATTTAGGAACTTTCAGAAATGCCAAATGTTGCTTAAAGGAGAGGAGCCACAGACAGGATGCTGTTCAGCAGAGACAGGAAAGTACCGCTGACACAGGGTGGGAAATGTGTGTTGCTCAGGAAAGCCGTGGGTACTTTTGTATTTATGTTCTTCTGAACATTCTAATGATGGATGCTGAACCGAAGCCAAGTATAACGATTTAAGTTTGCTTTAAAAATGTAAGGAATAGAAAGTACAGATACTTGTTTCAAAATGTAATGAGTAGTCAGCAGGAAGAAAAATAAGTAATGGAGTAAAGAGTATAGATACCTAAAAAGTGTACTTAAGTACAGTAACGAAGTATTTGTACTTTGTTACTTGACACCTCTGGTCATTTCTACACACACACACAAAAAAAGCAGCCACTTTTGGCATTTACTTAATTATATTTAGTTACTTTAACACAATTGTTTTATGTCCTACCCTGCTAACCTCAAACAATTGCATTAAAGTAATTAAATATGATTAAGTAAATGCCAAAAGCGGTTGCATGTTTAACCCTTACTTGAGTATAATAAGTAGTGCTACTCATACAGGAAATAAAATGTAGGGTACTCTACCCACCTCTGGTTGGAAAAGACATTTTGTTGTGCAACAGGTATGTGTTTTATTTTGAAAGTCATTTCCGGGGATCTTGCGCTGAGCTCACCAGGCTCTGCTGCACTTTGCGTCTTGAGCAAGAAAGACAGAGAGAGAGAGAGACAGAAGGAGATTTGGGTCCAAACTTTTTGCGCACACGCGGGGTCTGAATTAAATTGAACCTCCCTGGCTGATCCTTCTCAGCGGAAAAGAAATAAGAAGATAAATGGAAAGTCTGGCTGGATGTGACTCATGTGAATTATGCGCCCTGCAGTGATTTACTGACAGGGAGTGTGGTCCTCTGCGCTGCGGTTAATGTAGGATTGAGCCTGGAAACCATAGGATCTGCCATACATTTGACTCCAGTGGGAGGAATTCAGAGCTTTTGTGATGGATATCCACATGTTAACATGGATGATGATGGTTTGCTCGCTCCTGCGCCCCTCTGCTCTCCAAAACCCCGCACCTGAAGGTAACCAGGAAAAGCTTTTATTCTTTTATGGTTACAGTTGGACTTTTCAATTCTTACACGACTGTTAAACATAATAATGCTTAAATCTTCAGTTACACTGTTAGATCACATTGTTTATCCATGTTATTTTAAATAAATATGTCAATTGTTTACTTTTTTTCAGTCAGTGGACATAAAGGGAGTCGAAATCCCCTGATAAATAATGTATTTTAGGTGATTTAATGCACACATTCCTGCCATACAACCAAGTATCCCTTAGCAAAAAGAAGTATACTTGAAGTACATTTTTTAAGTTTACTAAAGTATACTAAATGTATACTTTAGTAAACAATAAAGTAAACAATAGTATGGTCAAGTACACTTGACTATACTATTAAGTATATGAAATATAGTTTAGAACAAGTAAACTGCACTGCCTGATTTTGAGTATGAAATTACTGCACTTTTAGTATACTTTAATAAACTACTTTTTGCTAAGGGATTGCTGAAACAGTAAGATAAATGAAGACAGATCTCTCTGTGTGGACATAAGGGTGGGGTTAATCAAACACCAGGGTTCCCAGTAAAATGGCAGGACTCCAGGTAGATGATTGTGAGTTGATGAAATCCCACTGCCCCCCCACCCTCGATCCCAAACCAGAGGGCATCCAGGGACCACACAGGCATGCATGGCCTCAGGCTGCTGCTCTGAACATATAGAATATGGGCCCCAGTCCCCAGATAGTAATCAGATGTAATCTCATGGGTTTTATGGCATGAGAGAACAGAGCGGGTCTTGTTAGATGCATAATGAAACTTTTATTTTGACAGGATTCATGAAATTTATATATAAAGTGAAGGACATGATAGATTCCTTTCCCATTCCTTAAATTGTTCTAAATATAAGCAAACATCGAGACTCTCTACAATGTTTTTAAGATACTATTCCTTACACACTGCTCTAAGCAGCCACAGATTGATAGTTTTGAATTTATAAAACATGAAAACAAATATAATCAGTTGGTTCAGGCTATGCTGTCATGCTGTGTCCATTAGAGGCTAAAATTAGTGACTATGATACTTTGTGGCTTTCTTAATGAGACTGGGTTTTTATAACTTTGGTGTTAGTGAGAAGGATCTGTTACTTTGCTGCTACCATTAATAGATACCAGATGAGACGCTAAGCTTCCAGTAATTAGACGTCATAAGTTTACTTACTGTTTATATGTTATATTGCCATGTATTTAGCTCAGTCCATCTTCCCACCAGTTCTGACCAACTTCAGTTACTCGGAATTTAAAATAAAATAAATTCCCACAGCATGTTGCAGCCAGCGCCGTGTTTTCCTGTGGGGATAATGTGTTGAGAGTTAATCTCATTCTACTTATAGCATTTTGAATCCCACCAGACCACCTTCTTCCAATTTTTTCCATCATGGTTTGTCGAAAAATTGCTTTGGTTTTCCATTTAGGTCGATAGCCATGTATTGCTGGTCTGTAGTTGTGCTATGTATTTTCATTTGATGAGGTGAATAGTGCTTTATGAGATGTTTAAAGCTTTAGATTAGCATTTTATAACCTAACCCAAAGGTGCTAAAAGTACTCACTTTTTTTACTCAAGTAACTGTACAGATATCTGTGTTAAAAACAACTTTACTAAAAGTAAAAGTAATAATTGAATTCCTTTACCTAAGTAAAAGTAAAAAACTAGGGTTTCTACATTGTTATTAAGTGCAAAAGTAAATTTTAATTTTTTGCCTTAAATGATACAAAACAACTTTGTTCTGTGCAGAAAATAGGTTAATTTCCTCCTCTGCTCACTGTTGGTTGAGAGAACATTTATAAAATAGTGACTTGGTCTAATTTTGGTATAAAATAGTTCTAAATTGTACGGAACAGAAATCCTGAATATTTTTAAAGCTCTGGTTTGCAGCGTTCAAATTGCAAATTGCATTAACATTAAAAAATGTAAATGTAAATGTAAAACTTAATCAACATAGACATTTTAAATCAGGATCACACTGGACACATTCTTTTAGCGTTCTTGATTTTCCCTGTTCTGTTGTGGCTGTCATGTCTTTATAAATATCTATAGAACTAACCAGACAGTTTTGAGAAAATAATGATTATAAAGTATGGATATTTGTTAGTGTTGCACCGTTACCAGTATCCAGACATCCCAAGTTTCAAAAGCTCATTTCAGAGAGATGCTTATCATCCCGATCCAGCACTAAAATGGTGGTATTGGTATTGGCGAGTATCAACAAATAGGGCACGATACCATTTTGAGAGCCAAAAGTTTATTCAACTATTGTCACCCATTCCAGGTAGGCAATAAAAAGTTCTACTGGATTCACTTTGTATTAGTCTTTTTCCTGCTTCACAAAGGTAGGCAGCAGCTTGACAAAGCCATGATGGCAATTATTTGACATCCAAGTAGTATGCAGTTCTTCATATATACACACACAAATCAATTTCAAACAGATGGTATCGGTATCGTCTACTACTGCACAGCCAGGTATCGGGTATCGTATTGGGGGCAAGAAATGTCATCGGCGCAACACTAATATTTGTGTTCAAATGTTGGGATTAAAAATAAAAAGTCTTCAGCAAAATGAATAAATACATAAAAATATTGAGAAGCTAGTTAAGTACAATAATTTAGCTACTTGACACCTCTGCCTGACCTGCTGTGAACTCCTCAACAGCTTTACCTTTGACCTGTCAGGGTTCCCAGCATCCCATCCCAAGCACTGTCCTGTATTCATGCGATGATGGTTACCTGAATGAGTCTCAGACAGTAAACTGTTTAGACAATCTCAGCGTTTATAGATAAACCCGTACCTGCACAAAGGTGGAGGCTGTGGGGGAATGCTGGAGGGGGACCGATAAGGAGCCCGCTGACTCCAAAGTCCAAACAACAAATGAAGATGTGAGGAATTCCTGATAATGTATGGAGAAAATAAGGTGTGGGCATAAATGTTGGCATGTGAGTAAAGGCTTGATTTATGACTGTCTGCTGTGCTGCTGTCTCATCTTTCAGCGCTCAAGAGGGAACCTAAGAAAGCGAGAGTTTTGAAAGGCTGTGTCAAAACCTGTGGCTTAGTGAACTTTCTTATGAAGTCAGACTAAACTGGATTCGCTGTCTCTCCCAGAGTTTATTTTTCTTATCTACTGTTCTGGCCGTCTCCTTTGGAGGAGAGCAGGTTCTTAAGATCTTTAGCCAGATGTCTCTGTTAGTTTCTCTTTCCTGCTGCTTTGCCTATGTCCTCTTTCAGGACTGTATATATGCGACCGTCCAACATTCCTCCTCGTATCTCACATGGAACTGCTTGAAACCCCCCACCTCCTCTGCTCTGCACTTAACGCCTTTTATTCTATCCAGAAACTACTGTGTTGTTCACTGTTCATTTCACTTTGTTTCGAAAAACAGAAAATTAGATGGTGGGGGGGAAAGAAGGAAATCCACCCTTTGGCTCATTCCTTGAATGCCTTTTATCCACCACCAAGTCTGAAGTCATTAAAATCTGGTTCCCTCGTTTCTTTGACTGCTTCTTATCTGTTCATTAATCAGACGGATTTGCGCCTGGCTTTGCACAGTTATGGTGTTCCTGCTCCCAATACTTTCTGAAAGCTGTGATCAGTGTAAGGAAAGTTAGTTGTGGAAGGGAGGGTGTTTTATGGCAGAGACTTGTGGAAAAAATTAGTGGAGTGAAAAGGAATCACAGTGGAGGTTTATGACTGAATATATGTTTTTTTTTCTCTCCACAGTGCTGAACTGCTGCGAGGGTGACGTTCTCTTTTTGGTGGATTCCTCAGGGAGCGTGCCCTCCTACGATCACGCCCGTATGCTCTCCTTCTTGTCTGACCTACTGCGTCCCTTTTCTCTGGACCCCGATCAAGTGAGGGTAGGACTGCTGCAGGTGGGTACCAAGCCTAGACTGGAGTTTGGCTTTGATAGATACAGCACCCAAGGTGACCTACAGAGGGCTTTGAAAAACATTATCCCCCTAAGGGGGGACACCAACACTGTGGAAGCTCTCAGACTGGCTAAGGAGACAGTGTTGCGACCGGGAACGGCTGGTGGAGCTCGGGAAGGACTACCAAGAGTGCTGGTCTGGTTGACTGATGGGGTGACACCAGGAGATGTATCTGGACCTTTGGCTGAGCTGCGGGAGGAGGGCGTGGCAGTGCTGGCAGTTTCCACGGGCCACAGTAATTATAATTTGCTGAGAGAAGTGGTGAGTCCACCTTTGGAAGACCATCTGCACTTTGTGGACGTTGACGACATGAGCATCATTACGGAGGACCTTCGTAACGCAATTATTGGTAAGCTTTGCAACAGACTGCATGAAGGATGAGTGAGGCCGGTGAAATGTTACGTGTATATTTATATTTTAGTGTTTAATTTAACTTTTTCACTTGTGCCCCATGTTTTTTTCTTTCCCATAACTGTTTACATTTTGGTTGCATTTCAAAAATATATTTGCGCATGTTTTGCTTATTAAATAGATTCATTTTCCATACAGAAATTTGAGATTTGCAATCATATAGAGTGAATCTTTTTCCATTTTTGTTACATGCAAAGTACATCTTTTGGAAATGGAAAAAAACAAAAACAATTTTGTAAACTAAAATTGGAAAAAACTGCGAATCCATAAACTAAACTTTGTAAAAAGTTTAATTATAAAAAAGGTTTTGAGAGTAACTTGGTTGTCTCTTTTTTTTTTTTTTTTTTTTTACTTTTTTCTCTAATTTTTCTATATTTATGTTTTTAAAATACATTTGTTTCTTTTAAATACTAATTTATTAGAATTATATCTTCGAATTGTGTTTCACTGATCAAATTTTTTTTCACTTCAAACATAATAAAGTGTTGTTGCTAACCTCCATGCAGGAAATAGAGCTATGTCTTCAGTCCTCTCTATAGAGGAAAATTTATCCAGAGAAATAAAGAGACTGTGATCTTTAAAAAGCAAATAAGAATGAACAAAATTCATAAAACTCATTCTAAGAACAGGCAAAGAAAGAAACCCCTGAAAATATAAAATCTGTAAAAAAAAATATTTTGAAAAAATAAAATAACAATATCTAAGAAAAAAAAGTTACTCTTAAAATCCTTTTTTGATTAAGATATTTTTCAGTTTAATTTTCTGGACTGCATTGTTTTCAAATATCGGTGTTCTAAAAGTACTATTTACTTGCATCAAATAGCGGAAAAAATGTACTCCATATAATCCTAAGTATTTCTCCTTGCTTGGTATTAGCAAAAATTCCGGTGTTCCTATATTTTATTATTTAAGCATTTCTTTGCCTGTACTTTTAAAAAATTGACTCACACTTTTTGTGTGAATTCTTAAAGGAGGAAAAATTAAAATAATATTAATAAAGAAAAGATGCATATTTTTTATGTACAGTATGTAGTACTTGTATTAAGTGGTGGGTAGTATCTAGTTACATTTACTCAGTTACATTTACTTGAGTAACTTGTTGAAAAGAAGGAAGGAGTAGTTATACTGTACTATATATTTTTAATTTTAAGTTATATTTGGTGCGTGTACTGCTACTCTTACCTGAGTAAAGTTTCTGCTTACTCTACTCAAAACATAACTTTAATTATAAAGTAAACAGTAGATATTGTTTTTTTAATCCTTTTCTGACACAAAGTCTTTACCTTCTGTGAGAGCTGATTTTTTTTAAAACCATTTTCTATTTATGTTATTTATCTGTATTTTACGGTGGCCCTGAAGTGCAAACTGCAACTACAAATCTAAAAGCGCAAACTACATAAAGGAATTTGCAACTACATAAAGCAAAGCGCAACTACATTAAGGAAAACACAATTACATTAATCTACCAGAAAAGGTAGGTACCAGTGGGAAACATGAGACATCGCTGATTGGACGATTTGACCCTTAAACCGGAAGTCATTCTGCCAGCTGCGGCTTTTGAAAACATGGATATTGTCGGCGCCCCAAACATAGATGCCGTTATCCAGGAATATTTTAAATCAGGACATACGTACGAGGTAATACTGGATATGCTCAAGACTAATCACGAAATTTCAATTAGTTTGCGTACACTGAAGACACACGTAAAAGAAGCTGGACTGTTCAGACGACGCAACTTCCGGTTCAAGGGTCAAACGGCCCCGTCGTCCAATCAGCGATGTCTCATATTTCCCACTGGTACCTACCTTTTCCAGTAGATTAATGTAATTGTGTTTTTCTTAATGTAGTTGCGCTTTGCTTTATGTTGTTGCGATTTCCTTATTTATATATTTAGATAAATTACCCAACTTTGCTTGTATGATAAACTTTACTTAAAGTATGTAGTTGATTGATTACCTACTATTTAAGGTTAAGGGTGTAAGAAAAAACATTTCTATCAATTATTGAGATATTTCTTTAGATGATGATCGTATCGCTAAAAAATATCAATATCATGATATATCATTCAGTATTATTGACTCAAAATATAAGACAAATCTTAAATGTAAAAATACTTAAACGGAAATATACATTTTATTGGATAATAAAAGGAAATGGTTATTAAAAAAAACTCCAAATGTGCTCAAAGCATGATGCAATTTTAATAACTCTAATCTATTGTAATATTCTAGTTGATACCGCCCTAAAAAATCTCTAAAGGAATTTTCTTGTAAGGTATGTCTCTAGTTTTATAGAAAAGAAAGCGAATATTTAATCCCAGCAGTTCTTGAAAATCTCCTTTATGAAACACCTGCTGAGAGTCCAGCGGTTTGTTAATAAGGCACACTCTTCTTTTTGATTGCACTTATTCTACTCAAGTGCCAGTCTAGATAGGAGCTAATTATGAGACATGTGTGATACTCAGTGAAATATGATAGGCTGATCTATTAATGGATTAATGATTCAACTTAACTCTCTACATCCTCCAAACTTATGTCAGATGTGACACATATATGTCTATAAATACAGACAGGATTAGGTAACTGCAGAGGCCTCTTCATAACTGTTTATGTTGCACAGAGAGGACATGATGCACAGCAAGAATAAAGCCTGTGTAAAAGTAGGAGACATGCAGTAGTCTTTAGTTAGCACCCAGAAAGCTTATCTCAGATATCAGTGCCTCTGAGGTACTAGCTATTTTACTGCAGACCATTACTGGGTTGTCTATTTCAAGTTGTCTTATTGCAGGAGTTAAGAATGCAATTAGAAGGCCAAGTCTGGCTGTGGAAGGCTGTCTGAAGTCAGGACATATTTAGCCATATGTTTTGTAGCTTTCTTTGTTGACACTCAGGATGCTGAGCCAAAATATTCCTGGCTCCAAAATTGTGAAATTTAGTAATTGTTTTAGAAATGCAGTAGTGATCCAATCTCTTTGTCTCGTCGTAAACAGAGATCATCAAAGCTGAGCGGCTTCAGGTCCGAGACATATCCACCAACTCTGCCTCTGTGCATTGGAGACCAGTTCTGGCTGGTCTCCGGGGTCACTACGAGATTCGTTATGGCCAGGTTCTAAGTGGAGGTGGCGGCAGCGGCAGTGGAACTGGGACCAGTCCGAGCACTGGTGGAAGTCAGTACCAGAGACTGATTCAGTCTGCGGACTTGAACAACATCAGACTTACTGGTCTAAAGCCAGAAACCACCTATTCAGTCCAACTGATTCCAGAGTCCAACGAACTAACATTCAACAAACTCTCTACCACCTTCACAACAAAACCAGGTTAGATTATTTCCCTTTTATAAAAAATTCATGTTTGTTTTGTTTTCTTCTTCTGTGGAGCTAAGATTTTAGACATTAATTATGGGTCAGTCAGTATTTCTTACTGAAAAAAAACAATATAACTTTCTTGTTATCTTATCTTACTCCTGTAGAGGTTGTGAGTCCAGCTTTTGTGTCGGTCTCTGACTCTAGCCACAACAGTGTGAGGGTGAGCTGGGGTCCTCTTCAGCCAGAGACTGTCACCAGTTACTACATTGAGTATTCTGCCCTGCCCAGGGGCGTTCTCCAGACCCTCACTGTGGACCGAACACAAAACTCCACTCTGCTTAGGAAGCTGCTGCCGGACACAACCTACCTGGTTACAGTTACCGCCCGGCATGCCTCGGGAAAGGAGAAGTCCATGTCTGTAAAAGTTTGTAGTCAAGAAGGTGAGCTTTAAATAAAATTTGGAGCTACATGCAAACTTTTTTTTTATTTTTCATGCAAAACATTATCTAACAAATGACCCAACGACCCCCGTTCCTATGTGGCAGACCCATTTGTCCGGTTCAATTTGCATGTTTTCTAAGCCAAAACAAGGTTTTATTTTTGGTCCACCCTATAAAGAGTGGCGCCACTAAGGGGTGGCCATGGCCACTCTATGCAATGCCCTGGCCACCCCACTTAGCATTTCATTCCATTATGCACAGCCAGTGACGTAACATTAAAAATCACACAATAAACCAAGATATGAGTAGGTGTTTACATAAGTCTTTATGATTTCTACAGGCAGGTTCACCACAAAAGTAGATTCAAATGCTGAAATTATGGCTTTTAGTTTCAGTGTGCCACCCCAAGATTTTTAGTGGCCCCATCTGGCCACCCCTATGAAAACTGCCTATAAAGCCTTGAACTTAACACTATTTCTGACATTTTGAATTGAAAAAGCTTCCTGAATGGGAAGCGAAACGTTTTCCAACTTGGAAACAAAGTCCAGTGGATTGTTTTTGTGTTTTTCTTTTACTTTTCTGGAATTAGAATAGGGATGTCCAATTCAGAATACCCCCTAGGCCCCTGGATTTACCACCATTTCAAGTTTCATTACTACCTGCTGAAGCCTTGTTATTGTTTATGTCCCAGCACAGTCAATTTTGACCCGTCCAATGATTGCTAATAGCAGGCAATCATGTGACACATGCTCTTCTCATTTCCCAACCAATTGGTCCCACAGTTCTGTTATTGTCAGATTACACCCTCAAGCTGTAAAGCTTGCTAACCTTTAAAGTTGACCATTAGGGGGCTGTAAACCCCCTAATTTGCAACTCAGAGTTGTAAGTTGAGAACTTGTCTTTAACCCAAGCTCTCTGCCTGAAAATATTTGTTAATGGGGTTTAAGTTACATCAATACATCAATAATGTGCTATTCTGATTGTCTTGCACTTGACACTGCAAGATTTTTGGGGTCATTTTTGAGCCGATTCTCTATTCGTGTGAGAATTATTTGATAGGACCGACTTTCAGCCTGATCGTGTGTCCTGTGTCGTGTAGTATACAGGGGGTAACAAGGGGCTCAAACTCAGAACCTCAAGATTTCAAGCTCTATGCCCTAACCACGAGATCACCACTCCCCTTAAGTATCGATGGATGGGTGGATGATGTGGTATTTAGAAAAATATGGAGGGAATTTTTTGCCATCAGGGGGATTTTGAGATCAGCCTCTCATGACCACCTCTCGATCAGGAATTGTAAGGTTGGGAGAAAATCAAACATGTTTGATTTTCAAATTGCTCAGTGCGCACGCACAAATATGGACACTTATTCTCCTTCCTCTCAGACGAATACTCAGAAGCATGGAGGGAGTGCGGCTGAAATGGAGTTCTTTCTGTAAAATTGACAGACCTTAGTAACCACTTTTGCTCAGCCATGTATTTGTCCAAATACATTATCACCTTTTCTCTTTAGGGCTTTCAGCACACAAAATTGCCCAAATTACCATGGCAGTGCATTTCGCTCTAGTGAGCTTCACATTTAACAGGAGGCATCGACACTTCTCGAGTCTTCTTCTCTCTTCTACTTGTTTGGCTTCCAAATAGCTGAGTCCGACGTGCTTTATTTAAAGGAATAGTACACCCAAAACATGATTAGCCTTAATTTTCTACTCACCCCCATGCTGAACACCACTCTGGAGTACTTTTTTGATATCTCAAATGCATCTGGAGATCTGGGAGGCTTCTTGCTGTCTGCTGACATTCAAATAATGGAGGTGCCCAGCGCCCGAGGCAGAAAGGTCCATAAAAGTCCACAAAAAACGTTTCAATATTTCTCCATACTGCTCGTCCAATGTATTCCAAGTGTCCTGAGTGGGTAGCATCCAGAATTTACTCGAAACGAAGTCATTTAGAATGTTTTTAGAGCATAAACAGTAGTGTATAGGATTTCCTGAAAGCGCGTTCACGACGCTACGGAAACCGCGGCAGACCAAACCAGATGAAAGTGCGCATTCAGCTCGGCAAAGAACTCATGCTCTTCCTCAACACTGAAGTCCTCAGACATTTTTCTTTCGTTGTTTCTTTCTTTGCAGAGGTAAACAGCACATTTCTTTTTCTACGCTTGCATTATTGGCAGAGCAGACGCTGAATGCGCACTTTCGTCTGGTTTGGTCTGCCGGCTTCCGTAGCGTCGTGAACGCGCAGGTGCGCGCTTTCAGGAAATCCTATACACTACTGTTTATGCTCTAAAAACATTCTAAATGACTTCGTTTAGAGTAAATTCTGGATGCTACCCACTCAGGACACTTGGAATACATTGGATGAGCAGTATGGAGGAATATTGACACGTTTTTTGTGGACTTTTATGGACCTTTCTGTCTCGGGCACCATAGACCTCCATTATTTGAATGTCAGCAGACAGCAAGAAGCCTCCCAGATCTCCAGATGCATTTGAGATATCAAAAAAGTACTCCAGAGTGTTGTTCAGCATGGGGGTGAGTAGAAAATGAAGGCTAATCATGTTTTGGGTGTACTATTACTTTAAGACATACAGTGTGAGCAGGTAGATCGCATCAGTGTCCGGTCGCACAGTTTGAGAACATACTGTACATTGTTAGCTGTGAACTGCGATTTCGTCGTACATCGTGAGCTGTAGCTGCATGCAACAATTGAAAAAATCGTACAGTGTATGCCCGGATTAAATGAAGCTATCCAGCTCCAACCAAGGTTAGCTCAAAATGCATCAACTTCAACAAACTGAGCTTCCTTATTTCCTCTAAAGATTTATCTGACTTAAGATATATATGGGCTGCTCAGTGGCACAGTGAGTAGCACTGCTGCCTTGCAGCAAGAAGGTTCCGGTAAAGGTACCAGATCTGCTCGGTTGGTCAGATCTGCTCGGGGTCCTGCTTCATGCCAGTGACGTTACGTTACGTGATTGGCTGAACGTTGCCATATGATGTAAAACATTGTGGTTACCTAGACAGCAATAATAACATCACCCAGCGTCCGTTAGCGTGTCTAATGACTGATAACAAAACTGGAAGAAATCTGTTTATGGTGAACAAAGTAACTGCAAGACCATGATATAAGGCCATATTAAGCCACACTACTTTTCAATTTGTCATTTAGTCATTAGTCAGTTTTTAGGATGTTCCTTTTTTGTGACTTTTTGTGTCACCTTTTTAAATGGCAGAGCTGAGTCTATCTTAGAAGGCAATACTTTCCTTCAAGACTGACAATTATTGTTCTCTACTTTCGGCTACTTTAGATCGCCAATGAAATGTAAAATAATCGCAATTATAAGTAATAATATGTTGAAACTCCAAAGGAGATTCAATCCTTAAGAAATGGGTGCAATACAGTTTGTCTGAGTGAAGTTGCCATATGTTGACATCACTAGTAGGGGCAGGCCCCCGAGCAGACCCAGGTTTGATTCCTGGCCCGGGTCTTTCTGCATGGAGTTTACATGTTCTCCCTAAGCATGCCTGGGTTCTCTCTGGGTACCCCAGCTTCAGACAGCTAAAGATATTTGAGAGCAGGACAGAACAGGTTACATGACAGAGGAGCAGCAGCCAATACAGTCACTTAATTAGTTTCTTCAGACAGGTAATGAAAAAAATGTTTGGCTGGTTATCTCAGCCAAAGTTAATGGTCGAGATCAAATTTAATTAAAATTTTTTTTAAGTCAAAGTACAGTCTAGGTTTGAATACATTCCCTTTCATTTATTTTCATGTTTTTTTTTTTTAAGTAATGTGACATTTTTAGATACAAAAACCTAACTAAGTGCTGCAAACTCTCCTCACCCAGTGACTCCAGCCCTGGCTGACCTCCAGCTGACAACAGTGGGAAGCGATTCAGTGCAGGTTGACTGGAAGAGCAGCACAGATGGTTTGAGGGGATACTGGGTGACCTGGGAGGCGCAGCAAAGCTCCCTTCAAGCCCAACGCTCCACCTTCTACCTTCCAGCTGATTCTCTGTCCACGCGACTCACGCACCTCCCCCCTTCTGCAAGAGTGTGTGTGTCACCCATTTACCGAACGGCGAGGGGGGATGGATTGTGTTGCACGGCGCAGTTTCATTCAGGTGAGTCCAGATAGAGGTGAGTCAGCTTGGTTATAGAATATGCAGTGTGAGGAGCTTGGGAAAGTTCTTACTGTGTTAGAAGTAGAAATTTGTATCTTTGATATATTTCCCCTTAATACTCTTCATTCTCTGACATGGGAGCTGGCTCAGAGCTCATCTGCCCGGCTGTGTGTTTCCTGGATGGGGCCGCCTTTTCCAGTTGCTTTTTGTATATCTGCTTCTGTCTCCTTGAATCCCACTCAGCAGATGGTCGCTCACACTGAGCCTGGTTCTGCTGGAGGTTTCTTCCTTTTAAAAGGGAGTTTTTCCTCTCCACTGTCGCTACAAGCATGCTTAGTGTGAGGGATTGTATTTGAGTCAATGAGTCGATGCAATCAACTGGTTTTTCTTAGATAGAAAACTTTTAATCAGTTTGAGTCAGACATGGAAAGATGAATTGAGTTGAATACAGGGCAATCCTGAAGGAAATCCCCAACATCATCTAAACAGCCTGAACTAAAAAAGAATGGTTCATATCAAATCATATTTTTTTTGTAGAACAATGAGGGCTGAATACAACTGATTAAAAACATCATATTGTTTTGCTTCTAAGTCATAATTACATGCTGCTTTGTGATGGTGTATTACATAACATTCTAATTAAATACATTAATGCCTTTGGTAAAAACAACAAAAAAAGCATTTTACTTTTTAATGCTGTTTTTTGTCATTTATTAATGTTTTTACAGAGTGATTTTTGTTTCAAGCAAAGAACACATTTTGTAAATTTAAATTTGAGAAAATACTTTTTTTAAATTGAAATAAATTTGAAAAAAATGCATGTCAGAAATGACACATTGAAACTTCTTCAAAAAAGGTTTTAAAATTAACATTTTTCAAATTCTTTTTCATGGCTGCCCTTCATATTTTACTTTCTCAAAACAAATACAAATACCAATAAAAATGTATGTGCTTCCGTTCAAGCACACCAATAGAAATGCGTCTTAGCTTCTCACTTCAGAAAAAAAGAATGCAATATATATATAACTTAATCTGAAAAACAGAAATAAAAAAAAGATGTGCACATATAAAATCTGTAATCTGACAAAAAATTCTCAAAATCTTAATTTTTTATTAAAATCTTTTTTCAAGGATTAATTAATGGGTTGTATTTTTTATAAAATTTCTATTTACAAAATGTGGTGTTTGCTTGCAACAATGATGGAGCTAAATTCCCTAATTTTTCCCATATTTTTCTAAATACCAAATCATCCATCCATCCATCCATCCATCCATCCATCCAAAGCTATCAGCTCTTATTAGAAAATACATATGTTTTTAGGTGGTGAATTTTTTTTTTTTTTTTTTTTTTTTTACACTAAAACATTAAATATGAATGTCTAAACTGTTGTAAATGCTTTTCTTTCTCCCATCAGATGCACTGGGATATGGCTTCCAGACATAGCAGCCTTGGACTGCACATGCACCTTACCAAACAAGGAGGGAGGATAAAGAGAAGGAATGCTGACTTCTATCCATAATTCTTTTGCATGCCTCTCCCCCTCCATGGACATTATCCAGAAGAGATGTGGTTTGGCTCACAGTGTGCTCATGTGGAAGTGACAGACACTTCAGAGCGGTGTGGGAAAAACCTGGCTCACGTACTGATCGCTAAAATCTAACACAAACAAGTATTATGAGATATTTACTGTCTAATCTGTTTTTCACCTGTAGCTAAACTGAAATTCTTCCATCCAGCGATCCGAGCTTGCAGTATTTTAGCGGCCTGTTTTGCAGAGTCAAAACATGGTTGGCTTGGAAAGCTGATGATATTTCTGGGTTGTTTTGAAGAAGCACTTTGCAACATATGCACACCATGTGTTCAAATCTGCATTTCTTCTATTACTCTAAAACTGAGGGAACATCTGATACACATTTGCTATAAATAATGTTGCAAACTTTTACTTAAATCCTTTAATTTTAAAACATGCTTTAAATCTCTTATTGAATGCTTGTGCTCAGGGGTGTGCAGCAGGGTTACATTATAAAGAGGTTCTGGATAGCAGGATCTTTAGCGTTGCTTGGAGCTTTAAACAAATCAGTCACACCACGTGCAGAAAAACTGGTGGGACGCTGTATATGAACCAGATGTGCCTAACTAAAAGTCACACTGACTCGGTGCCTAGATATTGGTCTGTATTCCATATTTATTTGTTTAAAAACCTCATAAAAAACAACTTACTTTGAGTTTCTGCAGATCTAAAGTTTATGTTCTTTAACTGTTACTGTTTTACTGTTTGCCTGTGTTTGCTGCCCCCTACTGTAAAGTTGTGTACCGGATTACTGCAGATATTTCAATGCCAACTTTTATATTTGTTGTCCTTCATTTGTAATGCCATACAGGGTTTCAATAAAATTACTTATTATGTGTGTTTAAATGTTGTAGTCAGTTTTTAACACTATAAAGTTGGGTAACTGATCTAGATAAAGTTGACTATTACTAAGTAGGAAACTAACTGTGCACAATAACACTACTTTATAAGTGAAGAAGAGAATTACCAGGGAACATTTAGCAAATGTTCCGTAAATTCCATAAATTTAATGTAATTTTTTTCTGGTATTGTAAAGAGCCGGCTTAATGTTTAACAGTTTAGTTTTGCTTCTCTGCATTTAAAGTGCATTTTCTTTTGTCCTAGTTCAGTCTTTATATTTTCTATTAAAAGCTGGAGGATAAATTTTGATTTATTCTTATGTAGTAATCTTAAAAGGTTTGAGAATGTAATCAGATTTTTTTTTTTAAGTTGCAAAGGTGACATTTGATGAGATTTTACTTTTTTTGTACTATCATCAGTACAACCCAAAGGAGAACATGTATATGAAGGGAAAAATATCACAGAACAAAACCTTTTAATCAAAAGGCATACATGTAACCAAAACTTTATATTGGCCCAGTTCTTTTAATATATATTCTTAATTTAATTCAGTTTATATAAATGGCACTAATTCCCAGTGCATGTCATTTAAAGACAGTTCACAAATAATTTATAGAAACATGTTGCCAAGCAGATTACATTTAGACAGTGTCTTTGCACAATTCACTCCTAAATGAGCAAGTAGCCACAATGTGTACAGTTTGTTATTGAATCTTCAGCAATCCCTCACATGAGGGATGACCATGTATGCAGCGAGAGTGGAGAGGAAAAACTCCCTCTTAACAAGAAGAAACCACCAGGAGAACAGAGGCCCAAGTATATCATCCAAAGGAGAGCAAGAAGCTGCTAACATCAGCAGATGAGCCTGTGCCTCCCTCCAGGACAGGCGAAAAGAAGGCCAAGCCGGATGCAGCTACATTAAAGAAAAAAAAAATGTCAGCCTTTTTAAAATGACAGCAAATAATGCTAAATTATAGGAGAAAGTAATTAAGGGAGATATGTATATCCATATTGTTTATAATTATCAATTAGTATGTCATGGGATTTTATTGCAATTCTTTTATTTTTTACTTTAATCTCTTTCGTAATGGCAAATGTCTCTAATTCATCTTTGTGTTCTCTATGCTGCCATATTTGTTGTTTCATTGCAGACGTCTTCTAAAGCTGCCCTTTAACTGTAAAAGGACGGTGTAATTTAATTTGGGTATGCATTTCACAGGCGTCTTTAGACATGCATAGAGGAATGTTAGGAATTTTGAAAGATTGCACAAAAAATAAGACAAATAGAACCTGCTTTTAGAGATTTCTATCATAAATAAATAATAATAAATAAATATTTATGCATTAAAATGTAAGCATTAAATATAACATTAGTATAAGAATTCACACTCTGCTTTGACGCTTAAAACTGAGCTCAGGTGCATATGATTTCCTCATTATTTTTCAAATGTTTCTCTAACTTGAAAGGAATCCATCATTGTTAGATAACAGCTGAAAGGTTACCTGAAAGCTGACTGCGTGTATCCAAGCAAAAAGCAAGCAATGAAGTCTGCAAATCTCCTGCCAGCAATTATATTAAAGAAAACATCAGGGAATAGATGCACAACATAAAAAAGTATTTAGCATTTAATATCCTTAATTGCGCTGGGATTTCTATTATAAAAAATGGAAAAAAATTTCTACATCTGGTCACTCAGTCGTTTAAGAAGGGACTTAATAATAGAGGTAGCAAGAACTTCAATGTTCACTCAGGTTTGGCTTAAGCCTTTCAATACTTAAACACACAACCGGTCAGGTTTAATAGCCACAATGTTATTATTTAAATAGAAACTATCTTTATTCAAATAGACTCATTGAAAAACGAGGCTCATTTACAAACTGCTTCCACATACTGTAAGCTATAACGTCATACAGGATGACAGTAAAATACCTATAAAGAGCTACACAATATTTAAAATACTAAAATATTCAGAAAAATTTAGTAAAATTCAGAAGCAAGTTATAAACCCCCCCAGAGGAAAATGATTCAACAGTTTCAGCTCCAAGTAAAGTCCAGGTTAAAGGTGCAGAGTATAACAATTTCTAAGAAAGGTGTGTTTAAAAAAAAAATCTAAATGGACTAAAGAATCAAAGAGATTGATGACATCCTGGCATCGTAAACCTTAACTGGTGCATTTCGGTGAAATGTAACAAGGGAAATACAGAGGTAGTAAACCAAGGATGGATTTATAGATAAGGATGTTCCAATTAAACTAAAGAAAGAATACAAAGTGCAACGATCGGTAAGCTATTTGCTTCCAGTTAATGACAGAGCTCCACAGGAAGCTGAATCTGATAAATGACGAGAACTGCATTAAGAATTCAAATGTAAAATGTGCTCATAGTTTCAAAGAGGCAAAAAGGTTCCTCTTCTATACATAGATTAAACGTGATCAACTCTAAGACCTGTTTGAGAGTTGTTTCAAATGAGAAGTGTTGTCAAAGAGTGATATCTCCAGGCTAAAAAACTGTCGATGAGCGCCCTCAGTGGGCAACATCCTTACTTACAATTTCTAAGAAAGAACTTTGCTTTGGAACAACTGATGTTAGAAATGCCAGTGGTGTTCTTTGGGGATTTTATAAAATATACTGATGTTGTTCAAAAAAAGTTAAAAAACAATCCACTGGACTATACTTCCAAGTGTGAAGACATTTCGCTTTCCATCCAGGAAGCTTTTTCCAATTCAAAATGTCAGAAATAGCATTAGGTTTGTAGCTTTATAGAGTGGACCAAAAACAAAGTCTTGTTTGGGCTTAGAATTGAAAATTTAATTGAAAAAGCTTTGTGGATGGGAAGCAAAACACCTTCAAACTTGAAAACAAAGTCCAGTGGATTGTTCTTTAACTTTTTTTGGAAAGACTATGACCTAGATGACAGAGAATCTTCATCAGTATACTTATGTTGCCGAGTGATGATGCAGTTAGAAAGTGTGAACAGGAATAGTAGAGGACTTAGGATAATCATGATGAATGGGTCATTCAAGCCATATCAGTAGATTAGCTGGTTCTCTGTGTGATTAAAACGGTCAGAATAAACTGACCAACAGTAATACTGTTTGCTGCAAATCAATGGTCCTCCTCACACATAGACACTGTTCTGCAAAAGGTCGGAGCTCATCGCCTGGCTTTTTATTCCCTGGACGGGCCGCCTGTGGAGCTGGTTGACAGTTGCCTTTTGTATCTCTGCTTCTTCTGTATCTCTGCTTCTCTCTCCTTGAACCCCAGTCGGCCTCGGCAGATGGCCGCTCACACTGAGCCTGGTTCTGCTGAAGGTTTCTTCCTGTTAAAAGGGAGTTTTTCCTCTCCACTGCTGCTACAAGCATGCTTGGTGTGAGGGATTGCATTCCAGTCAATGAGTCGATGCAATCAACTTAGATAGAAAACTTTGAATCACTTTGACTGTATGATCTGGTTGAATTTTCTCTGTAAAGTGCCTTGAGATGATGTATTGTGAGTTGGTACTATATAAATAAAATGAATTGAAAAATATGTCCCAAATGTGTTTTTCTGCAGGTTCCATAAAGGCCCAGTATGTTTTTCCCATATGGGCCCATATTGGATTCTACCTGGGCCTTACATGGGACCTATATATGGCAATAAATACGGGGCCCATATGGGACCTATCAGTCAATAAAAATATTTTGCCAGGCCTTGGAAGGGGCTCAAGTGTGCTGGAAAATGGGTTCCACATGGGTTTGTTCACAGGTTCCACAATAGCCCCACCTGTTTTGCCCATATTAGTGTATAGTTGGATGTACCTGGGTTTTACATGGGGCCTATCTGGACAGTCCTTATGGGGGCCATATATGACCTGCTAATTAAAACAGAAATATTCTGCTGGACCTTGTACACATACACATGGGCATGAAAATGGGCTCCAAGCAGTGGCAGCTGCTGCTTGTCATGATGGGTCTAATATGCTTGACCCACGTGCAGAAGCACTTCACAGAGACTGAAAAAGATTTAACAGTTAATTGTCAAGGACTGTACACAGATAGGTAAAAGAGTTCTCCAGCTTGGGGAGGTTCCAGCGGTCTGGTGAACCCGAAGTGGAAGCTCTAGGAGGAGATCAGAGTGGTGAGTTCAAGGACTGTGGGAAAACTGGCCGAAGGTCTGAATACAAGGTTTCTTCGACTTACTTTGGTAGTTGGGGAGGTTTTCTGAGATCCCGTTTCTGGAGGCTTGGTCAGTAGAGGGCTTGGTTCGTTGGAGAGTGGACATGAAGACTATGGGAATCCTGAGGAGCAACGACTGACTCTTGGTTCCTGAAGGGCTCAGCGTTCACATGAGGGGATCTGTCTCCTTTTCTCAGTGTGACGAGTGTTTCCCTTCCAGACTTGAAGGGCCAGCTTATCCAGAGGATCTGGAAAATCCCAATACTGGCAAACACTCTGGCGAGGAAGTGAAGACAGTCTGCTCCTTAAATACTCCTCAGGGACTGATGACCCAATAGGCTGCAGGTGTGAGGTGAGAAGAACAGGAACAACCTCCAGACCAGCAGAGGACAATGGCACCATCTAGTGGGTGCACGGTAAACCTGCAAAAGCGCATAAAAAAGCCCCACAAACTGGAATCCTAACACTGCTCTTTGGTACAGGGGAGGCTAAATGGTGTTAATGAAATCCAAATGTAACGTATTGCATTAAAATTTTTTTAAATACAAACACATTACTAGAGTGGGTGAAAATAGCTGTTGTGAACCAGTTTGATATAATAAACTTCAGTAACCACAGCAAAAGGTCAGCAAAAGATGACTCTTCTGACTGAAATACAAATTTTTTCTCTCTTGTCTGAGTCTCATGAGGAAAACCTTTGCACCATCTGGCGACTCACTGTCAGTCAAAAATGTTTTAGTATGTTCTGCCAATCAGGGGTGAGCAGCCAACTTCACGACCCGCCCCTGCTCCATAGACCCCCAAGAAGCTTTGCCTGACTGGAAGTTACCTGTTCTTTAATGTTATGCATTT